AATTTCAGTGATTTCTGTCTTGCCTTGAGTTTCCCTTGGCTTGAGCCTGCTATATTCTTTCCTGGGTCCATTCTGTAAGGCGAAAAGAAAAAAGAGACTCTGCAGGCTGGCATTTTTCTGATGCCCAGTTGACTGCCCCTCTCCAGGTAACGGGAGTGATGGGCGAAGAGAACAGAAAGAGCATGGGTACAGGAGTGTGGGTCTCATGTCCCTTGAGCGTTCGGGTGTCAAGCGAGATCCATTCTTCTCCTTTGTTGGGGCGATGGAGCTGCGAACCAGTCAATCAAATGGTCGGTAAACAGGTTCTTGGAAATGTCCTGGCTGGGCTGGGTGCCTGACTTGGTTATTTTTAACACTCTGGACAGATAGACAGAGGAAGGATTTCAGTTGCTGGGAGGGGAGGTGGGGGTTCGGGGGCGTGAGAACTGTGCTTCCCTTATATGGTTCTGTGGCAGACGACCCTCTCCACTTCACCTGTCTAAATTCTGACTTCCTCCTTCATCTTTCCAGATCGACAGCAAATCCTTCCTTCGTCTCTTCTTCTCCCATTTCACTCTATTCCGGCTTTTTCATGCTTGTCTTACCTTCCAACTTGAAGGAAACTTCGCTTTCTGTTCAAGACCCCAAGATGTTTTTAGCTCCATATCCCTGTAGATCAAGGTAAGGGTGCACAGGCCATGGCCAATGGTTCCTTTGCTCTTCTTGGAGAAAGGAGTAGCCTGCCTGGGACACCCAGAGTCTTCTCTTCAGTCCTACCTACCTCTTCAAGCTCTCCTGGGGGACAGCTGCAAAGTCCCTGCAATCTCAGGCACCTGAGAACAGAATCTGAGATCCTGGAAGCCCAGATGAGCCTCATACACCTTTGGAAAGTAGAAGAGATATTGGTTGAGGTAAGGGGGCAGCAAACTGGGGGGCCATTGGTGGAATCAGCCTATAGCCATTTAGAAACCTGTACAGTTTCATCCTAAAGATTTGAATTGGTGGTAAGCATTTAACAACCCAAATCAACTGTTCTGGCTTCTCTTGAAAAGCAATTATATTTGGTAACAACCAGCCCACATTCCTTCATGGCATCAGCCCATTAGAAGGGCCCAGCAGGGCCTCATTCGCAGTTAGCACCGCACTCTCTCCGGTATTGCATTCACCCGCTTCACTCCTTTGTCCCTGCCTGACTCCCAGCTGGTGTCTGGGTTTGTCTTAGTTATTACCTCTAAGTGGAGCTTCTCAAATATTTCCTCTGAGGGACCCCTAAGATTAGGGAGAATGAACACTTTACCCTAGGGCTTCTGGAACACTCCAGAGGAGCCTGTCGGAAGTCAAAAACGTTAGTTGGCCAAAAAAAAAGTACCTAGTTTATGTTTAAAAAGTGCACATTTTGATTTCTACTGCACAATGTATTTGTGTGGTTTTAGCATAACAATAATTTTATCTTCCTCCACCAAATCTTAAAAGCATAATGGCCCCTCTGGAAGACGTACTATGTGGATTGTGCAATTCCAGTATTCCTTACTACATCACCCATAAATAACCCAAGTTAGGCACCACAACGCTAAAGACATGAGGCAAAGACAGACGTGGAAAGACAGGCGTGGAGAGAAGTCAACAAGAGGAAAAGAATACCAAAGACAGTAAGAATGAGTCTGAGGGCTAAGGTCTTTCTGGCCCTAAGTCACACCTCCTGACCTGGCCCAGTCCAGCTCCTGGGAGGTTTGTAGACATTCCTGATGCCTCTGGACAGGTGTTAGACTGGTGGCTCAGGGTGAAGAGCAAGCTTCAAAGCAGGAGCTAGCCAAGTAAGGGAGAGGTGAGGGGCCAAGAGCAGCCACGTATGGTCAGACAGAAGAGATGGTCTAGGGGCCAGGGGGTGCTTGGGGATAGGAAGCAGAGGACTAAGAAAAGGGCTGGTCAGCATTTGCCCTTTCGCCCACTGAGCCCGTCTTTGTTTCACTTCTTCTTAACCACTCCTGCCTCAGAAAAATAAAGTAAAAGAGTGACTTTGACCTCTTCAGATGAAGGAATCTCCTTTCCAGAATAGCTGTGTCTTCTGCCTTAGCTGAGCAGAAGGAGGATGAGTACCATGGCTCTTTCAAACCTGTCCAAATGGGATTCTGTCTGTTCTCTCCCCACGATGGGAAATACCCCATATCTGTGACCCTGACTTAGGTGAGCTCATCCCCCCATCCTTTGGTAAGGCAAGGGTCTCACTAATCTCCCTCCCATTCTAGTACTGTCAGTGCTCCCCTGAATGTAACAAAGAATGGCAAAGACAGGATTTGGATATTTGCTATTGACCATTATATACCAGGAGAAATGGAGTCACGGGGTGGGGAACATTCAGGGAGAGGTAGGGGTCCAAGATTGGGGAAGCCCAGCTTACAGCTGGGGATCCAGGGAGGAGGAGGTGTTTGAGAATGGAGAATAGGACCAGACTCAGAGGTCTTCGAGACATAGTCTCTCCCTGCGCTGGTCAGGCCTGGGTGTGAGGAATCCTTGGACCTTAAAAAGGTCTTAAAAGCCTTGGGCCTTAGCCTTTCAGGTCCTGCAGTTAGAACTAGAGCTTTGTCTTCCCACTGAGTCCCATTAGGGTGGCCGGGGGAAGATCCCTTCTCTTTAGGGTACAAAATGCCAAGTTAAGTTCTGTTGGGGATAAAGCAAAGATCTTTCTGGAGTGATACTAGGAAACCAGAACTTCTTATTTTCAGCATTCTGGTCCCAAATGACCTTGAGGAAATAGTGAGGCTCAGTAGGAGAAAGGTCACTGGAGAAGGGGTCACCACCGGTCTGGCCAGATTAGCTAACTGAGCTATTCCTGTCTAGCTCATTCCTCCTCTCTGTCCTCCAGCCAGACATGATAATATGATGCGAGATGAAGAAGACTTGCTCCCCCAGCCCCTTCCTTGGTCAGAAATTTCTCAGCAAACAGCTTCATTTGAGTCCGGGCTTGCAGATTGTGACCTTGAACTCTGCTGCAGGGGTTGTCACCTCCCTCGATAGTTGATAGAATTACTGATCCTTCTGCTACTGGGGCTGAGGCCTTTCTTGGAAAGGACTGGCTGGGTGCCTGAGGTATCTTTAGCTTGCCCAAGCTGAAAATAGGTGGGGAAATTCAGAGGATGGAATGAGTTCAGCAACAGCTGGACACGTCCTGACCTTTGTTCTCAAAACCATTTGGACCCTTGCAGGTGGGTCAACACCAGCTTGAAGGATTCCTGATGGATATCTAACCCCAATTCTGTCTCACACACGAGAAGACTGAGGTCTGCAGACGTGTCATGACTTTGCCAAGGGCACAAGGCTGTGCGATGGTGAAATTCCGTAAACATATGACCATAATCAGTGCTTTGCTCAGTTGAGTCGAGAGCCTTTCCCCTTGGCTTGGTTCTCAACCAGCCGACGCCTACAGGCCACCCTTCCTTCCTTTCAAAGTTCAAACGGCAATAAAAATGAATTGAAGGAAATCATTGTCTTTTCCTCCCCAAACCATGGGTGCCCTGTTCACCTGACATCCCACCTTCTAATTTCCTTGGGTCTCCACTCCCCATCTTCTCAACTACACAATGCATCCAGGTTTCCCAGTCGGCCCTCCCTCAAAGCACCTGAGTCCCTGTGAGGTTTGGAGACTCAACTCTCAAGTTTCCTGCCTAAGGTGGGAGGGGACCAGAAGCCAGGGATAGAACATAGGGTGGGGAAGGATAGGACTCTTCCCAGAGAGCCCACTCTGCCTGGGGCCAGAACAGGCCTGGCTGTGTCTGTGGGCAGCCCTAGCAGGCAGGTAGCATGGCGCTGAGCAAGCACTCTCTTTAGTGTTTGCAAACAGAGCCTCAACCGCTAGCCTCTCAGGTGGTCCTGCAGAGAAACAGCAGTCCCCACTGGTCACTGGACCTTAGGCTTTGGCCTCAGCCTGCCGGACAGGACGATGGAAAGTAGGGGAGAGGTCAATGGGAACAGTCGAGCTCTGCCTGGAACTGCTCTGGAATCTGGGGAAGCTGCTAGATCCCGTGTCTCTGGCTTTGTTCGTTTGTTCGGCGAGGTCGCCTGCCAGGAGCGGCAGGATGCCAGTTGGGAAGGAGTCCAAGAATGGTCTGATCTTTCTGACTTTGTTTGTGAGGCAGTACAACTGAGCCCAAGGGGTCACCCCAACCTTTCTCCTCCTCTCTCCCATTTGATGGGAAAAAATATACCTAGAGGTGGGGGCACGAGTGTGCTCCTATTCCCCTCTACTGTCTTCTGTCTAGAGTCTTTTAAGGTCCCAAGCTGGCATTAGGTGGGATGTGGGGGGGGATGGCCGTGCCCCCGACAAAGACACAGATATAGCTGATCAGGTAGGACTGGTGGGTGTGGCTGGGCAGGGGCGGGGGCGGGAGGCTAAAGGAGATTTTTCAGTCTTTTATGTTTGTTTCTTGCTGATTTCTCCCCATCAACAATGACAGGCAAAAGCGTGACTATGGGAAACCCCCAGGGACTTGTCGCCCCTCCCCCTCCCATTCCACTCACCCAGCACCTTGGAGAGCTAGGAAAGGAAACACACCAATAGCCACAAATTGCTCAATAACTGTGGAATGTTCTTTTTCAATTCCTGTTTCCTTTTCTGTTCTCTTGGCTGCCTCTACCTATTACTGCACCCAAGCCTGACTTTCAAGGTGCTTTCCCTCAATGGATTCACAGCTCCGATTCATTTTTTACGACGGGGGTAGAAATAATCTAACATGAGATTGCCAGTCTGTATCACTCGATGCTGTATGGAATTCAGTCGACCTGCCTGAATATGGTTGGAGAAGGTTTTCCCACATCCCCTCTTTATGACTTTCAAATGTTTAGGAGGGTCGCTATGACAGCATCCCAGCTATCTGTGCCTGCCTCCTTATTCGGTTCCTATTCTGGACACGCGGCTCGCCCGTGACTGTTGCATGTCAAGTGACTGCAACCAATCGGCTCGGTGAGGACTTCCTCGGGAGCCAATCAGAGCCTCGGGAAGTGACTTCACCCCAGGGAGAGCTGTGTGGGTGAGGAAGCATCTCTCTGAGCTGTGAGTGTCCCTAAGTCACTCCCCTCCTCCCCACCCTCCTTACTTCCTGTAAAGCAATACCGCCTACCCCCTCCGCCCCAAGAAGGGAGTGAGAAGGTCTAACTAGTTCCACAAAGGAAGGACTCAAAGAGATACCACTGCCCAGCCACAAAGCAGCTTCAGGAAGTGGAGAATGGCGGCCCCCTCTGCATAGACACGTCTTTCAAAGGGGATCTCTCGGGTCTGGGAGAAGGTGTGTGCTGAGGACGAATGGGCGCCTCCTCCCTACTCCCTCCCTGCACCTGGCTTTCTTGACTCTCTCTCACAAAAATAGCTGTAATCTTTCCTTGTAAACAAGGACAAGATCAAGGTCAAGTGTGGGAAAGAGAGGGCCTGTGTGCCTGTTGAACACATGTGAAAGGAGACAATCATGTCCAGCGGCCTGAAGACCCAGACGCTCTTACAGGGCGTGGGCTGTTCTCTACTACCCACTCTGCACAGCCTCATAGATGAGTTCCTGAATGTTCTTTGACAGGGCTAGAACAGGGAAGGGGTAAGGGACAGGAAGGCTGTAAGGCCCAGCATGTCACACGGACTCTGAGGGGTAAGGGAAGAATGGCCCAGCTAGGCATTCCCTTCTTTTCTCTAGGCTTCTTCCATCAGGCCTCACCCTGGACAGACAGATAAAAATTTTTATTTAAAAATATAAAGCTGGCCTTACTCCTCCGAATTGAATACAACCCCAATTATCTTTCACTACAAAAAAGTGGGGAGGGGGGCATGCGTACAGCTCTCTCGGCTCTAACAACTCCAGTTCTTCTTTGCCCCTTCTTTCTCTCATTCAATTAAGACGTTGGTCCTTTGCCCTTCTCCCAAAGCTATCAGAGGTGACACAAGGGTAGAGGGACGGGAAGGGTGGGGAAGAGAACTGTCTGTCATCATTCTCCTTTCCTGTCTCCAGGGCCAGTTTATCTGGACTCCAAGCACATGAATTGCTTGTCCACAAAACCGAATAATGGCGACAGTTATTCTCTATATCTTCCATCAAGAGCGATGTGAAGGTCCAAGATATTGTTCAGGGTCCTTCTTCAGTAGATGGCCTCATCCATATTGTCATCACTGTCACCCCCAAAGTCCTCTCCATTGTCAAAATATGACATGATGTAATCGGTTTCCTGAAAGAGAACAAAAAGAAATCACAGTAGGCGTGTGTTCAGCGTTCTCCTCCCTCCCAGTGCGTCAGCTGCCCCCTTCCGCTGTCCCCCCCTTAAACCATTCCAGGCCTGGGAAGTCCCTTGTGGCTGTAGTTTGCTCTTGAGAAGAGCCTGGGGGCACATGAAGTGGAGGGCACTATCCTCTGAGGGCATCTCCTTTGGCTCTCTGACGCTCTGGAGAGAACACCTCTGGTGGATGGAGTTGAGACCCCCAGAGCTTATGAGAAAGGGAGGGGAGCTGAGGTGGAAGAGCTGAGGTGGAAGGAGAGCCCTCTCACCTCTTCGTGTTCTTCTTCATCATACTCCTCTTCTTCTTCCTCTTCCTTCTCTTCTTCTTCTTCTTTCTCTTCGTCTTCCTCTGAAGTCACTTCTTCCTCCTTCTTCTCCAGGGTCTGATGGGAAGATGAACAGAAGGAGAAGCTCAAGACTCAGCTCAGAGAAGGGAAAGAGTGAGGCACAGATGGGCCAAAGGACAGGGGACTGGTCTGGGGCCCAGGTGGTCTCTCGGCACAGGCCAAAGGACAGGGGACTGGTCTGGGGCCCAGGTGGTCTCTCGGCACAGCTCCTCCTCACCTCCAGCTTCTGTATTGTCTCTTCCTTGTCTTCGGTGTTCTTAGGGGGCCTCTTGGGGATCAGGATGGTGGTCCCTGGCCAGGGAGTCAAAAGGTGAATCATCCGAGAGCAAACTTCCTGGTTAGCGGCCACCCTACCCCTTTCCCGGGACCATGTAACTCTGCTGCCCTCATGTGGCCACCATGGCACCCAGCTACCATACTGGGTGGAATGGGTAGGAATTGGGGGGGCAGACAGGACCCCCCCAACAGCCCTGGCTGTCCCGCTGATCAAGGGACTCTCTCTTCTGCCTCCTTTCCCCAGATATACTCCCGTTTCTTTATTAAAAAAAATTTTTTTTAAATGTTTATCTATTTTTCAGAGGGAGAGTGCAAATAGGGGCGAAGCAGAGATGGGGACACAGAATCGGAAGCAGGCTCCAGGCTCTGAGCTGTCAGCACAGAGCCCGATGCATGGGGCTCGAACTCACAAACTACGAGGTCACAACGTGAGCTGGAGTCGGATGCTTAACCAACTGAGCCACCCAGGGGCCCCTACTCACGTTCCTTTTGTAGCTTCCGCACTCGGATCTTTAGCTCACGGGGTAAACGGCGCCAATCTGGGAACGGTGGAAACAGAAAAGTCAGGAAGACCCTGCCTGGGGTATCCTGTGAATAACTGGTTTTAAAGGAGAAGTAAGAGTCAGGATGATGGTGAGGAAGGAAGGGGTCGGGTCAAAGTGACTTGGAACAAAACTGTGGCTTGTATGCCTCCAGGGAGGTGGGGGCTATTTAATAGGTTTTTGGGGAGAGTCTGAGAGTGTTTGCGTGGACATCTAGGGCTCCAGTTTGTAACTACTATATAGAGTGAAGGAGGGGACAGAGACAGGTGGATGGGCTGGTGGCTTGCGGCATCTCAAGGATTTTAAAAAAGGGCAGTCAATGAAAGGGCCCATCACCTACCAGGGTTCCAATCGATGGCATTGTCAATCGGCCCTGACATCTGATATTTGTCTGAGTAACGCTCCACATCTGAGGGGTCAGAGGCCAAGGGTCAAAGTTTTATCCTTTCAGAGCCTTAGAACAGGGTTGTTTCTGAGGACCCAGCCCTCTCAATACTCAGACACTGTGCCCTCACCCCAAGCCCAGAGCCCAGGGGATCAGCTTTCCCAAGGACCTTCAACCCTTTGCCACCCAAAATTACAATGTTTTGTGATCTCCCTTAACCTAAGGGCAGGGCTCTGTTGAGAGGTGGTGTGATACGGTGGGAGGACGCTAGAGGGAAAGAGACTAGCGGTTCAGTCTTCCCTTTGCTCCCTTTACTCCTTGTTAATGGGGCTGCCAGGCAGGTCTTTCATCCTTCTGAGCTGGAGCCCCTATGGCTTCAATCGGAGAGCACTGTTCATCAATATACTCAAACACTGCCCTTCCGCACCTGTTGGTAAATATGCCCTCTCCCAAGCCTCCCAGCGCCTCCCCTTCTCCAGTCCCTTCTGGTCTCCCTGACCTCCCTCTAATCCTGTTAAACTTAGGAGGGCTTCTCAGAGACCCAGCATCAGCTTCCCTTCTAACTGCTCAGTGCCCGTGATATCCAAGCTGTGAAACCTTTTGATACATCCCATTTGCACCAATGAAATGAACATCTTGGTGCTCAGCCTACCACCCCAAGGCTGTTGCGGGACTCCGAATGAACCGTGGATGCTGTAATGCATTTCGGATGCACAGGTGACTGCTAGGATCTCCCCAGTTACACAGTGAGCCTCCTGTGCTGCCTCTAGCCTCGCTGGCCCGTAGAGGTGCTGTGTCCAGGGCACACTGCTCATGAAAGGCGCTCAGAACATGATGCTAGCATTCCAACTGACCTCGCTTGGGGACAGCTGGCCGGATGAAGTAGGGGAGCTGCCTCATGGCCCCTCGTAGCTCCTGCTTCAGTGCCAGAACATATTCCCCTTCCTCTCCTGAGGGCAGAGGCACTGGGCGGAACTCCAAGGGCTACGGAAGCAGGGGCAGCGGTCAGTTCAGGGAACAAACACTAGAGGGCAAATCTAGAAGAGTCTCTCTCCCCCCAGTTCAATCCAATGTGCCCACTGAACAGAAGGCCAAAGAAAAATGTGGCGAGCAGTATAGCATTTTGAAAGCTGGGGAGCCAGGAGTGTGAGAAGCTACATTGCCTGAGAAACATCCCATGGGAGTTGAAAGCATAGAGACAGAAAGGGGCAAGATGAGTTTTGTGACAGCCTACAAGGAACCCTGGATTGTATACAGTCAGCCAGGGGCACGTGGGAGTCCTGGGAAGGGGTGCAGACACTCACAGGGAAGAGTGGAGACGGCTGCAGGGTGGGTGGGGGCAGAGCATTCCCCTTCCCAATGCCCACGGCCTCCATGTTGAAGGTCAGCTGGCCCCGGCCACGACCCCGGCCCCCACCCCGACTGGCCATGGTGGAGGGGGCCTGGGTATTCAGCGATCTGGTGAGAAAAACCTGATAAAGACAAAAACGAAGAGAAAAGTATGGTAGAATGATAGGAAGCCAGGGAGGGGCAAGACACTCAATCCTTTCCCCGAGGGCCCAAAAAGCCAGTGTAATTCAACAGCTGTTGATAGGAAAGGCAGTGTACCAGGCAGGGTATTTCTGGACATGCGGACACATGGATGAGACATAGTCCCAACAGGATGGATAACTGCCACGTAGTGTAACTGCAGCACAAAAGGGAAAGTGATTAGACCCTTAGATAAAGCTTCCCTCCATCCCTAAGATAATTTGATATTTGTCACCATCTGCATATTGCTGTCTACTCTTTGAATTTTTTCTCTCCGTGGCTTTCCACACCCAACCAGGTCCTAGTTCAATCCAATGTAGTGAATTTCGGCAAAACCTGTATTAAGCATCTACCATGGAGAAGATAGTGTGCCATGCGCTGTGGGGTACATCATGTCTCACCCTCAGTGGGAGGCGGTGGGGGAAGGAGAACCATTACAATCCATTTATTTTTTTTGTAATACCACTTATAACCACAGAATCTTAGAGTTGGAAGGACCAGTAGAGGTGTCTGGTTCAAAAGCCCTCCCAGTGCGGTACTCCACTTTGTAAGTTGTTAGCTTCCAGTGGCATTTTCTTAAAGAGACGGTGTCCATTCTGCCCCAAGGCAGCCCGCCCCACAGTGATCAACTCTGATGAGTTGAAAGTTCCTTCTGTTACTAGAAGTAGCAGAATGCTACCTCTTGTCATCAATCTTAAGGGACCAGTTGAAGGCAGATAGGATGAGGGATAAAGTTATCAAATGAAAATGAAACTTGTAAGAGATGATATCCCACTGGCAAAGAGCACACCTAGCACTCAGATCTTGGTGTCTAAGACCATTTTCCAACACAAAGAACCAGGGCTTCCTGGAGAAATGATTGATTCTAAGGCCTGGGGCAGGAAATATCCAGGGGGAGCCTGAAGCATCTTCTTGCGCCAGAAAGTAAAGAAGTACTCAAAACAACAACTCACAGACATGGATGGGGCTATGTCAAAGGGGCATAAGAGTCAACTGAAAGAGAGCCCAATGGCCAAAGCTGGAAGAATTTGAGCAATAAATAAATAAAGTAGTATTAAGTTACAACCCCAAAGTACAAAATAAATATCCATGAGTCCACACTGATATAAAGAAATGATTAAATAAATTAAAACATGGGGGAGAAAAGACAAACTTCTTGTGTAGAATTCCAAATAAATTAGATAGACTCCATCCTGAAGATGGGGAGTAGAACTTCCCACTTCTTAAGGGTGGAGTATATATATAGGGAATTTTGTCCAGTTCAATTTTGGAAAGGGCGGGGAGTAAATGTTCAGTGGGGAAAGTGGACAAACGCTACTTCAGTCAGGTGACCAAGTTCAAAATCAACAATATTAAATTTCATTGCTAGTATGCGCCCTTAACGTGATGGGATAAGGGAGAAAGCTAGGGGGACCAGGAAAGTGCAAGGAGGCTTCATAAATCACAAGGTCTCAAGTTAGGAAGAGCCCTCAGAAGTCATGTGTTCATGGGGTGCCTGGGTTGCTCAGTCAGTTAAGCGTCCAACTTCGGCTCAGGTCATGATCTCACAGTCCACGGGTTCGAGCCCCACATTGGGCTCTGTGCTGACAGCTCAGAGCCTGGAGCCGGCTTGGGATTCTGTGTCTCCCTCTCTCTCTGCTCCTCCCCTGCTTGCTCTCTGTCTCTGTCTCTCAAAATAAAAAAATAAAGACATAAAAAATTTTTAAAAAATATTATATAATTCTAAAAAAAAAGAAATCATGTATTCAATCATTCATTCAACCAATATTTATTGAGCATTTACTATATACCAGACACATGCCGGACAATGGGGATCATAGTGATGCCTCTACTTGAGACATGCATCCTTCCTCTGATAAACCAGGTTTAGTAAATTGTTCGGTAGTGTCTATTTAAACATCTTTAGTAAGAGGAATCCCCAGCTCCCTTTGCAGGTCTTCCATTAATAATATTTGTTCTTCAATTAATATACAAAAAATACTCTAAACAAGAAATATATAGCTCAACAAATTGCACTCAACAAAAGATTAGTTGGTGAAAAAAAGATTTGGAATGTGTATAAAGTAATCTATTCTGTCAAACACACACATACACAAGTTGTTCTGGAAGGACATACACTGAAAATTAATGTTGGTTAATTTGAGGGGATGGGTTTTTGCTTTTTGGGGGTGTTATGTGTATTTTAGAGTTTGTTTTCTATACTGAAAGGTATTGCTTTTGTAATAAGAGAAAAATAACCATTTAAAATTTTAAAAATATAGCAGCAGACTATTAGGTGAGATTAATAATATGTAGCTGGAAGGAGAGGGTGAAAAAATGTGTGTCTGAGGAATCTAGAGAAGTTTTAGGTCCAACAAAAAATGTGAGGAAAAAATAAGCTGTCAGTTAATAAATTAAATTGTGACCTGATTAAAAGGACATATTAGGGGAGAAAGGATGTCTCATCGACACCAGAGAAGGAATAAGAATTTGTGAGCTTGTCTTCTTCAGGCCCTTTCAAGGGAAAGGACACTACCAGCTCGTTTAGGGATCTTTCCACTTGACACAGTTCTATCCGTGGGGACAGGAGCTGTTTTGATCGGAAAGCAGTAAGGAGTCAAGAAAAAGCCGTGAGCTTTGAGGTTAGACAAATTGAATTCCCTTTCACATAGAATCAAGTGACCTCCAAGGACATGGAGTGGTAAAAAAAAAAAAGACGAAATTTTATTTAATTGAGGCAATAAACTGGTGGTTGGAAAACTAAACTATCCATCTCTATTGCACTCAGGTCGGGAGTCTACAGTGAGTTTCTTCTATTTAAGATTGTGATTGAATCTAAATTCTTGAGGATATCTAGGGTCTTCTATAATCTGGTCCCAAACTGCTTTTCTTATCATCAACCCTGCAATCTCCTTCCCCCAAACAACAACATCTCATATACATGATACTCGTTCCCGTTTATGCCTCACTGTATGGTGGTCAAAGTTACTTAGAAGCAGATTTCAATAAAACATACAGAAAAACCATGACACCAAATTTAAGAAGGGCAGTACATGTAGTAGTTAAGAGCGTGGATTTGAATTCCAGTTCTGTCATTTTCTAGCTAAACAACCTGAAGCAATTTATTTAATATCTCTAAACCTGTTTCCTCATCTGTGAAATGGGAATAACAATAATACCATCTTAATTCATTCGACAAATACTTACTGAGTGCTTGTTATATGCCAGGCATTGTTTCAAGTGCTAGAGATATAGCAGTGGGCGAAACAAACAAAAACTGCTGTATCAATGGAGTTTAAGTTGGTAGAGTTATCAGGATACAAATATTTCGAACCATGAGACTGGGTGAGATGTGAACAGAGAAAAGAAATCCGGAGACTGAGGCCTAAGGCACTCTAATATTTAGGGTTTCCCATATTTGTGATAAATGAAACAAGGAGTTAAAACTCTTATTACATAAGAACTCATGGAAATCCAAACAAAAAAAATCATACCAATAGAATAAATGTGCAAAGGACGTGACTAAGCAATTGACAAAAGAATGACCCATAAAACCACTCTTCACCTACTGAATTGACAAAGACTTAAAGAATAATCAGGTTGCCACAGTTTTTCTGAGATGGACACTCTTCATACTTCACTGGAAGGATTGTATTTATACACAATATTTCAGGGGAGCAATCTGACTGCTTGCATCAACCACCAGCCTTTTAAATGTTCATATCCTTAATCCAGTAATCCTACTTAAAAAAAAAAAAAACTATCTTTAAAGAAAGACATATATATATATAGTCAGACATGTAAATATGTCTGTTCATTAAAGACATGGTTATCAAAGAGCTATCCATGGTAGCAAAACATCTGAAATAACCTAAATGGTCCAACAAAAAAAATAAATGGTTAAAAAAAATCAAATATCCATTTTAGGCTATCATGTAGAAAGAAAAATGACTTCAAATAATACTTAAAGGCAAAAAAAAGGTTCACTATGTAAAGTGGAGGGAAACGTGATATAAAATTATATGTTGTATAGCCCGATTTATGTAATACACACACGCGGATACATGCCGAAAAGAAATTGATATTAGAATAATACAATAATAATAATGATTATCACCATCATATGGTTATGAAATAAGAGACATTTTTATCTGTACCTTTAAGTGTTTCCAACTTTTCTAGAATAAATGTACATTACTTTTTTCATCAGAAATCAAAGGGGATGGTTTCCTTTATTTTTAAGACTGCGTTTGGGGCGCCTGGGTGGCTCAGTCGGCTAAGTGGCCGACTTCAGCTCAGGTCATGATCTCACAGTTCATGGGTTTGAGCCCTGCGTTGGGCTCTGTGCCGACAGCTAGCTCAAAGCCTCTGACCCTCCCCTGCTCACGCTGTCTCTCTCTCTCTCAAAAATAAATAAAATGTTTAAAAAAAAAAAAAAGAAGAACGCCTCCACCAGGACAGCACTCCTTCTTTTACAATGGAGGTGAGGGATGCATTTTGTTGAACTACATATTCATTTAGAATATTTGCTGGATATTGGGGTGACTGGGTTGCTCAGCTGGTTAAGCATCCGACTTCTGTTCAGGTCATGATCTCGTGGTCCGCGAGTTCCAGCCCCATATTGGGCTCTGTGTTGACCACTCAGAGCTTGGAGCCTGCTTCACATTCTGTGTCTCCCTCTCTGTCTGCCCCTTCCTCACTCATGCTATCCTCTCTCGCTCTCAAAAATAAATAAACATTAAAAAAATTTAAAACAAGAATATTTGCTGGATATTAATTAAACAATATCCAAAAATGGAATGACCTGCAAAGTGAGCTAGGGAGTCCTCCTGTTAATGATGTTTAAGTAGAAGATGAGTAACAATTTGCTAAATACGGTTTATCAGAGGAGGGATGCACGTCTATGCTCCCCACTGTCTAGCATCGTGTCTGGCATATAGTAGATGCTCAATAAATATTTGCTGAATGAATGAGTGAATGAATGAATGTATGATTTCTGAGGGCTCTTCCAAACTTGAGCCCTTGTGATTCGTCAAGCCTCCCTTCACCATCCCAGTCTCCCTTCTCTGGACTGTGGGAGCAACTACATTACAAACCACTAATTTAAGAGATCTTAATTAGGTATGTATTGTATCTTATTTCATCTTTTATTAATTGTTCCCTAATTATGATAGGAGTTTAAAATTCGGCCTTCCCAATTCTTTTCAAGTAAACTTTATTGGGCACTTTGTATTAAGTACAAGAACCTGCCTACAAAACCTTATATTCTTAGAACAGAAATATTAGAGACCTCATACTAAGTGCTCTAAGAAAGGTACGCATAAAATGTTACCGTCAGACTGAAGAACGATTAATTATGAAGGGGGAAAAAAAAGAAAGGAAGGAAGAAGAAAAGGTGGTTCAGGAAAGCTACAGGTAGGAGACAATATTTCAGCTGATTCTTAATAGAAAACAGGAGTTTGTCTGACTCTTAGACAAGGGAATAATAATAATAGATTCGGGGGAAACTGATGCCATAGCAAAAAGTCAGGGATACAAGGGTGAATCTTTCTCACTGGGTGCTTTAGTATCTCTCCCCTATGCGCGGAAGAAAACTGCAGTTCTATGGTCTATAATCGGTACAGCAATGGGAGCCCTGAAGAGAAAGGGAAAGAAGAGTAGGAAACCAGAGGGGGGTGATCCAACAGGCTGCCAGAAAGCGCTGTCTATCTACCTCGAGCAGCTTGGTCCCGGTAAACCAGTTCCGGAGGTGTTGGACAGAACCAGGTCAGTGCCACCCGGACGGAGCCTTACCTGCTGCCCCTCCCCCACGCGGAGCCCACGTCGCAGCCAACTTGAAATTTGCAGGTCTTCCTCGAGCTGCCGGCGCGCTAGCCCCGCCTCCCAAGGCCCCCCATTGGTGAATTCTCCCGGCCAATCTAGGAGAAGACCAGCCGGGAGACCCGCCCACTCGAAGCCGAGGAGAAGCAGGGAGGGGGAGAGGCGGCGGGAACCCAGGCTCGGAAAGCCCGGCGTGGCGCGGAGACCGAGGCGGTTGCAGAGTCGACCCGGGCTCGGTTATTTCCGACCTCATCTCAGATGGAGGAGCTCCTGGCTAGCGAGAGCTCGCACTTAGAACTCACCGAGGGACACTGATTGAGGAAGCTGCCACAGAGAAATGAAATGGTTGTTCGTTTAAGGATCAGTCTTTTTGTGACGGGGGCTTCACAGCTTGGCGTCTCCTCCATCACTTCAGCCTTCCCTCCAGTCCTACATGGCTTCCCTCCAGCACCACCAATGAATACTTCTTTTCTATTTTTTTCCGCCCTGTGGGTTGCTGCCATGTCTGTGAGAAGACGAAAGTTTGGGGAAGGAAGGATTACAAATTAGAGTTGGGGAGGCAGGAAAGGAGCCCAGTGTTTCCTACATTTTCTATTGCCTTCCAGCTCCTTCTAGCCCTTGCTGAAGGGCGGCATGGTGGGAGGGAAGGGGAGAGGAGTCCTATTTTCATACACACACACACACACACACACGGAAGGAATTCAGAGTGGACATAAAATCTAAGAGTTAGTCAAGAAGACTATCCCAGATGTCAGAGAAAATGGCCCTGGGAATGAAGCCTCTTGACTCGGAAGGCTGTAGATGTTGTGCCGGGTGCCTAGTCTTTGGAATAGGATAGAAACAGAGCTGTGAGGTTTTGAGGAACTTGCTTAACTTCCTACTGTATAGCATTGTTGTATTGGAAATAATATATGTGAAGTACTTGGCACATAGTCGGCATCCCGTAGATGGTGGTTAGTAAAGATGGGTAGCTTCCCTGCAATATTTCTCTTCCTCCTTCTCCAGAAACATTATTTTAGTATCTTGTGTCTGGTGGCCTCCAGTAAGAATGATCTCAGGTGAGTTTTCCAGATCCTTGGGATTTTTTTCCTCACCTTCCGCCCCCCCCCACAATGCCTTCCAGCTGGACACAAACTCATTCCTAAAATATGCAGATGGAAGCTATGGTAACCATGGAGACAGGGCAGGTGGCACGGAGAGGCAGAGACAGACAGTAGAGAGGGACGGGTTAGGATTGCGACACATAGACAGATAGGCAGGGAGAAGACGAAAGGGCCATTGGACAGAGACCTTCAAGCAAGGTGGAAAAATAATGACAGTCTAAGCAAGATCGACTGTAAAGAGATACAGTGAGAAAGGATGTGTTACAAGGTTTTCTCTTCTCTTTGCCCCTTTCCTCTCTCCCTCTCCCCCTCCAAGAATATGGGGAAGAAGGCATCTGGGAATGCCCCCCTGGTGTACCTAAAAATGACCCCGTATATCCACTCTCCTCATACTTATCTGAGGTCTGTACCAGGAAACTGAGGTTCAAGTGTATCTGTGCTGTGTGTTCCGTTTAGGAGGAGGTGGCGTGAGGATGTACCGCTGTCTGGCTCCGGCCCCCCCTCACATGTAAACTACAACAAGGAGGCAACCAGATCCCTTGCTTCTCTCTGTGCAGTATGGACTCCGGCTGGGGATCCCAGTCGCCTCTCTCCACCTCTCTGCACAGTGTGCCATGTGCTGTGGGTAGCAGGGCAGGTCTGGCGTACAGGCGCGCATAAACGCCTCAAGCGCGGAAAATGGGGCTCTGTTCGTGGAAGAATTGGGATGGTCCCAGTCTGGATCGCGGAGGAGTCTCCTGAGGAACATTTAGGTCTGTTGGGGCTGAAGGGAGGTCGGCGAAGCGAGAGAAGTCAGGATTGGAGCCTCTAGGTTTTGAGGATTTTTGTGTGCATGGGTGGGGGAACGGTTTGGTGCCCGACGCCCCCACCCGCAGAGACTAGGCTATAAATAGCAAGGCAGAGCTCCGCCCCCCCCCAGCTTCTTTCCTCCCGAGCCGGCGCCGTGCCCGGGGCGCACCGGGAGGAGGGACCAGGATCCGGTGCCGGGGCGCAGATACTGACACCAAGGGAATCCAGGTGCCCCTCCCCACGCCATGTGGGCCCCCGGGAACCCGGTTCCGCCACCCCTGCTGCCCCATGGCCTTGGCCTCAGTCCTGGCCCCTTGGAGATCCTGCGGACATTCAGGTATCTATTTGGGCGCACAGCCTGGGAGGGAAAGAGCAAGGAGTGATGGGGGACATAGCAGGGGCAAAAGAAACCCCCAATTCTCCCCCCACCCGTTTTAGGTCCCAAATGCCAGCTGCTTCCCTCCCCCCACTCAGTTTTTGGGGCTGTGGCAACCTAAAAGAGGTTAGGAATGGGAATTATGTGTGTGAATGTATGGGTGCATGTGTGTGGGTGGGTGGCGTTCAGCATCCTAGGAAGGGGTATTCCAAGTGCGGATAAGAAAAGGGGGATGCGGAAAAGGTCTGATAAGCCGTGGGGTGAGGGTGGGGGTGCGGTATCCCTGCGCGTGCACGTACGCATTTGCACGCGCGCTCGTCCTTCAATGCGGGTGCACCCTTCCCACCTCCTCAGGCATGCGCTGGGGGGAGGGGGCGGCTCAGAGGCATGAGTTAGAGGAAGGACTGTGTGCCGTGCCGTAGAGATCTCCCCGCGCCCTATCGGCCCACCGGTGCCTCAGTTTCCCCGCCTGAATCCGTCAATCAGATCTCTCCCTTTCTCGCAGGGATTGGCTTCGCCACTGAGCCCTCGGGCTTCCGCCAGCCACCACCCCCACGCCCCTAGACCTCGGCGGGCCCCAGTCCCGGCTCCATTGGTGCTTTCGCCCCAGCCGCAGCTATGCTGCACACCGAGGGCCACGCTCTTCTTCGGGCCGTGGGTCAGGGTAAGCTACGCTTGGCCCGTTTGCTTCTGGAGGGAGGCGCCTACGTGAACGAGGGTGATGCCCAGGGTGAGACTGCGCTAATGGCGGCCTGTCGGGCCCGTTACGACGACCCCCAGAACAAGGCACGCATGGTACGCTACCTCCTGGAGCAAGGCGCGGACCCCAACATCGCAGACCGCCTGGGGCGCACCGCGCTCATGCACGCTTGCGCCGGGGGAGGGGGCGCCGCCGTGGCGTCGCTGCTCCTTGCCCACGGCGCAGACCCCTCGGTGCGAGATCACGCCGGCGCCTCGGCGCTCGTCCACGCCCTGGACCGCGGGGACCGCGAGACCCTTGCCACGCTGCTGGACGCCTGTAAGGCCAAGGGCACCGAGGTCATCATCATCACCACCGACACCTCACCCTCGGGAACCAAGAAGACACGGCAGTATCTCAATTCCCCACCGTCCCCGGGGGTGGAGGACCCAGCTCCCGCCCCTCCCAGCCCGGGGGTCTGCACATCGCCTTCGGAAATCCAACTGCAGCCTGCGGGAGGAGGAGGAGGAGGAGGGGGAGGAGGACGGGCGCTGCTATCTCCTCGCGCTCAGGAAGAAGAGGAGAAGCGGGACGTCTTCGAATTCCCTCTTCCTAAGCCCCCCGAGGACCCCTCCCCTTCTGAGCCGCTCCCCAAACCCTCCCGTCACCCTCCAAAACCACTCAAAAGGCTCAACTCCGAGCCCTGGGGTCTAGTGGCCCCTCCTCAACCCGTCCCGCCCGCGGAAGGGAGGCCGGGGATCGAGCGCCTGACCGCCGAATTCAACGGCCTGACCCTGACCGGTCGACCCCGGCTTTCCAGACGTCACAGCACTGAAGGCCCGGAGGACCCGCCTCCGTGGGCGGAGAAAGTGACGGGCGGGGGTCCTCTCTCGCGCCGAAACACCGCGCCCGAAGCTCAGGAGTGCGGCCCCCCTTCGGGGCTGAGGCAGAAACTGAGCCGCATGGAGCCGGTGGAGCTCGATACGCCCGGGAATATCTGTCCCGACTCTCCGGAGTGCGGCCGCCCGTCGCTGGAGCGCCGCCGGTACAGCGCCTCCCCGCTGACCCTCCCTCCGGCCGGCTCGGCTCCCTCGCCGCGCCAGTCCCAGGAGAGCCTGCCCGGGGCCGTGTCTCCGCTGAGCGGCCGGAGGCGGAGTCCCGGGCTGCTGGAGCGGAGGGGCTCGGGGACGTTGCTCCTGGACCACATCGCGCAGACGCGGCCTGGCTTCCTGCCTCCGCTCAACGTCAGCCCCCACCCTCCCATCCCCGACATTCGCCCCCAACCCGGAGGCCGGGCGCCTTCGCTGCCCGCCCCTCCCCAGGCGGGGGCGCCGGCCTCCCCTAGGACCAAGCGCAAGTTGGTGAGGCGCCACTCGATGCAGACTGAGCAGATCCGCCTGCTAGGGGGCTTCCAGAGTCTAGGCGGGCCCGGGGAGCCGGGGCGCTGAGAGGAGTGAGAGGAGTCAAGGAGGGTGGGGATCAGGACCTTGATGGGACAGGTGGGAGAACCAGCTCACACACACACCACGGACACGGGGGTCTCTTGCATGTGCTCATGGGCACGGTACACGCACACGGGGGTACAGAAAGTGTCCATAAGCACAGTACTCTTATTCGCAGAGAAGGGTAAGTACTCTATTTACTGGGCATACTGACACACGCATTCATGTCCTGGTCACTTCACATGCATATGGGAATTACTTGGGGACCCATCCCTAGGAATGGCACACACAGGGCCACTTGTGCTAGGGCCCCCCGTGGGTCCCAAACTCACTTGCATCTGTTCAGAAGCAGTAGGGAGCCCCTACCTATGGGGTGTCTCCAATCTGTTTGCCCTCTTGCAAAAGCAATCCCCTGCTTTCCATGTATGCCCTGCAACGCAGCTCCTTCATGACTCTGCACACGACGCCCTGTTCCTGAATATCCTACTCCCTTGTGTAGGTCTTGCTTCTCTCTCCGGGCCTGGCTCCTTTCACACCCTGCTTCAGCCCTAACCACTTTTCAGGATCTCTTCTTCACTTTTCCTTGGGGGTTTCCTGCAGCAATCCCCAGCCTCAGTTCTGCTGCTGCCCTTCTTGCTCTCAGCTTTACTTCTCAGCTTCCTGCCTTTTATTCCCACCTAGTCCCCCTAACCAATCAACAGGTTGTCTCATTTTCCCAGGGAGTGGGTCATGGGCTCGACGCTGCTCTTCTGTCTGAGCTTATGAACACCCCCACTGGTAGACGTGGGGAGTAGCCCTAAATCACTCTTCTCTCCACTTGACATATCAAATAAATGTGTTCAGAAGTCTCTGTTTTGTCACTTCTGCCTGAGGGTGTGGGGTATGGGGAATGAGGAATGGGGAGGGAGGGTGATGCTGAGTATATCTCAAATGACCTAGGGGATTCTTAGAGGATCCAGCCACCTTCTATGCAGGAGACCAACTGTGGTTGCAGTAGAAAAAGCGTCCTGTGTCCTGAAGGTTTTAAGGCATTTAACAGGCTTTCATCTGCCCTGTCTCTAAATTCTTTAAGATTTCTGCAAAAGTATATCCTACAAAAAGTACTTCCCTCCATTATCAACACATATAGCCCAGTAGATTAACTGCCCCTCTTTCAAGGTTCTTATTTTGTGACTCTTCCCAGTTATTCTTTGGGGGTCTAATTTTCATCTCACCAGGTGCGTTTCATCCGTTTTTTTTTTTTTCTACTTCTGATTTTCATTTCCCCATCCTGAGCCACTGCAGGAGGGGGAGGGGGTGGAGAGAAGTATTACCTCACCTAGGTAAAAATGGCATAATGGTCTACTGACAAAGGATGTGTGTATGTGCATGTGTGTATGTGCATGCATGTGTGTGCGTGCGTGTGTGTAGGAGTAATCACAGGAACTCAGCCTGACAGGTCATGAACAAGGGTAATTGTCTTAATCTGCCCCCAGACTTCTCAGTTTTCTGATTTCTGCATATATTCTAATTCTTTCTCACTCTAATGGGAGGTTAAGGGAGCAGCCCATTCCACTCTTCCTTACTGAGTTTCTCCCAACTCAGAATAGGTGAAGTCAGAAAATTACCTAGCATGTGGTATAACTAAAATATCAAAATATTGGGAATCAGAAGGCCTACACCTGAATCCCTCTTTCCCGTCTCCTAGCTTTAATTTTGGGCAATTTATCTAGCCTCTCTGAGTGTCCCTTTCCTTATCTGTAAAATAATAAAATCTAGGGGCTCAGTCAGTTAAGCATGTGACTTTGGCTCAGGTCATGATCTCAAGGTCAGTCCCTGGGTTCAAGCCCCACAACAGGTCTCCCTCTCTCTCTGCCCCTCCCCCACTCACACTCTGTCTCTCTCTCAAAAATAAAACAGAAACAAATTTAAAAAATTATAATATAATCTAGTTAGTCATTGTGACTATTAAGTAAGACAATGCACTTTAAGTACATTGCCTAGTGTCTGACATACAGTAAGTATATGCTCATTAAATGTATCTTTCCTTGTTTTAGCTCCACCAGCCATTGCATGTGATCTTGGAAAAGTAGAGGTGGGGAGTAACTCCTGAGTCTTGTTTCCTCATCTACATCTATAACGTGAAATCGTTGGACAAATGATCCCTAAGAGTCCTCTCACTGTCTACAAGTCTCCTCAGCCCGGCATCCAGCTCCCCCCCGCCCCCGGGCGCCCCGCACCCAAGCCTCCCCACCCCCACCCCGGGGTCTCACTCATTTTCCAGTTCTCGCCACAGGACTCCCAAAGAAGCGCCCCTGCTAAGCTTCTCCCTTATAAAGAATATCGCTTTGTCTCTTTGCAATTGGTCGCTCAGAACCTCCGCCCGCCTCCCTAATTTGCCTATGGCGGAGCTCGAGGCCTCCTGCTCCCGCCCAGTCTCTGGTGATTGGCAGAGGACCGGGCTCGTCCCCGCCCCCGCTTGACTGACGGCTGGGCCCCGGCCACGCCTCAGTCCCCCGGCTCTCGCTGGCGGGGGTGGCTGGGACCGTTAGCTCGCCAGGCTGGCAGGCTCCGGGCCGCGGCGCCACCGGCGGACGCGATGGAGACGATGCGAGCGCAGCGGCTGCAGCCCGGGGTGGGCACCGGCGGGAGGGGCACTCTGCGAGCGCTTCGGCCCGGAGTGACCGGGGCCGCGGCGGCCACCGCCACACCCCCCGCGGGCCCCCCGCCCGCGCCGCCGCCCCCCGCGCCGCCCCCGCCGCCCCTGCTCCTGTCGGGGGCCCCCGGGCTGCCGCTGCCCCCCGGCTCCGCCGGCAGCCCCGCGGTGCTGCGGGAGGCGGTGGAGGCCGTGGTGAGGAGCTTCGCCAAGCACACGCAGGGCTATGGCCGAGGTGAGTCTGCGGCCCCGGCCTCCTGCGGGACACCCTCTGTAAAGGAGCCTTGCTGCCAGAGTCCTCCGGATCGCTTTTCCTGGCGCGGAGCCCTCACATGCATTTCCTTTTGGGGAGTTTCCTTCTGGGCTACACACACACACACACACACACACTCTCTCTCTCTCTCTCTCTCTCTCTCTCTTTCTGTCTCTCGCTCGCTTATACACCCCTCTCACCACCTCCTCTTTATTGAGGTACTGCTATAGTCTCCAGGGACTATAGTCCCCTTTTTACAAATAACAACCCTCTTTTCTTCCCAGCCTTTTCTCCTTTAGAAATGGAGTTCTTCCTGTAGCTTTCCTACCTTAACATCTCTTTGCCTTTGAGGACCAGCCTGCATTGTGTAGGATCCTATCCTTTCTCTCCAGTGCAAGGCATTTCTCATCCGTTCGCCCTCAATCTTCCTTCTGTGATCTCGGCCATTCCTGGGCTCCCCCTGTTAATTGATTCCACCTCCGTAATCTTTCTTTTTAAAGATTTTTGTTTTTTAAGTTATCTCTACACCCAAAGTGGGGCTGGAACTCACAACCCTGAGATCAAGGGTCACGTGCTCCAATGACTGAGCCAGCCAGGTGCCCCTTTCATCTGTCTCCTTAACCTTGACTTTTGAATTCTTTCCTTACTTGTCCTCACGCTGAAATTTCCAATACAACTTCAGATTTGCTGGGGGAGTTAGGTAGTGCCTTCGCAAGTCACTTAAGATTGTGCTTTTAAATCTGGAACCGCACCATGAGCCCTTAGTACCTCACTTTGGTGTCTTTTTAAGTACGGAGCCTCACAACTCCGGCCTCTCTGTCTGTCTGGCTCTGTTTTCCTGGCCCTTTCCCAGGAACTGAGGATAAATCCCAGGCCTTGGCTCTCTCAATGTTAAGTTCTGTGGAAATGAGCCAGGCAGAAACCCTATTTCCATTAGAGGTCTTCATCTTACAGCTGCCTAATTTCTAGGCCTTCCAAGAAGGGGAATGTGAGGATTTTCTTTGTTGTTTTTGTTTAATCAGTGCAGAATTTCCCGAGTTTGGACTCCAGGTTTAGAGTGTAACAAGGAACACAATGTAGTGAGAGGTGTGGGATACAGAATTTACGTCTGGAGTTTCTGAGATGTCACTTTTCTTCTGCTTGGGTAAATTCTGCCTCAGCTGAAAGCGACCATGTCTCTAACCTTCTCGTTGAACAATAGTGCAGAGAAAGGTTGCAGGGCTTTCTTTGTAGGCAATAATGCCTTTCCCCTCCCTCCCTTCCTATGAAAGTGTAGTGAAAAGAGCTTACACAGATTTCAGAATCAGACACGTGTGGGTTAAATCCCAGATGAAATCTCTGTCACTTGCCAGTTATGTTTTGGGGGAAGCGACTTAACGTCACCAAGCTTCAGTTTCCTCGAGGATCACAAGGGGGTTAAATGAGCTATTGCATCGGACACCTAACAGATACCTTGAAATGATGAGTATTACCTCAACTCTATTGGTTCATATATATCCTTGAAAGAAAATACCTCACTTTCTCCCATTCTTAGATCCTGACAGTGGAAATCCAAAGATTCCCGTGAAAACAGATTTTTAGATCCATTTTGCTCCATGTGCCTAGTGAGTCGTTTACTGTCGGTTTCCTTTTGTTCTTCTACAGCTTGGACTCCTACCTGGTGGGGCTGGCCCTCTGCTAGGTGCTGGGAATGCAGATGCATGTGATTCTGAAATTCATCATGAGGGGGTAGCGTTGTTTGTCGAGTCTAATTCCTGGATTTAACAGGGCTTCGTGATGGAAGTGCCATCAGCTATTGTCCCGCTGCTCTCAGGCTCTTTGAGACCAAGGGAAGGTCTTTGCCTCTGGGCGTGGGAGCAGTCACCCTAAAATGAACCCTTCCTCTTGGAAACCTACAGGCATTTATTAAAATTGTAGGGGAGCGTGCCCCTTTTCTTGTCTGTGTTACCTGGAAAGCTTCTGATTTGGCATCTAAGCCGAGTGTACTGTAAAAACTGCCTTCATTTCCTTAGACAGGATGAAGGAGCAAGGGGATTTTACTGATGAAGCCTTCAGACTCTGTGGCAATTCCTTCTTCCAACCTCCCTACCTCCCACCACCCTCCTCATTATTCCTGAGTCTCTCATTTCCAGTCTGGATGTCCCGCCAGGACTTCGGGAGAGTTTGACAGAGAGTGCAGCTCCGGGCAGGCAGACTCTGCCGATTTGGCTCAGAAGTCCTGCACCACATGGAATCACTTATCCTGCATCAATTAATAAGCAAAACTGCCATTGGCGTGAACCCACATACCCTTGTGACTGATGGCATGGTGTTCGGGGCCTGGCCCTATTTCCCTGAATAGAGTTGATCTGAGCCCAGACCATCATCTGACCCAGCAATGCTTTACTGTATCATCTTTTTTTTTTTTTAATTTATTTTTGAGAGAGAGAGAGAGAGAGAGAGAGAGAGAGAGAAACAGCACGGGCAGGGGAGGGTGAGAGAGAGAGAGAGGGAGATACAGAATCCGAAGACAGGCTCCAGGCTCTGAGCTGTTAGCACAGAGCCCGACACCAGGGCTCGAACCAACAAACTGTGGGATCATGACCTGAGCTGATGTCAGACGTTTAACCGACGGAGCCACCCAGGCGCCCCCACTGTATCGTCTTTAATTCACGTCCTTCACCTTCTTCTTGACTGTTCCAGGGTCACCTTTTCCAGTCACTGTCTTCAGATTTACCAGCATTCATGGAGGACCTCAGCGTTTATTTTAAAAACGCAAAATCAAAAAGCAAAACTCTTCTGTTATTTCACCTGTTTGTCCAAATCTCTCCCCCACCTCCACCCCCAATCCCCTTCCCTGCAAGGTACACACACAACTCAGTATGCTGTAGGATTGTAATCAGCTTGTAGGGCACAGGGTTTGGAATCCGAGAACCTGGCCCTGTCACACATGGCTGTGTGATCCCCGCTCAATTGCTTAATCTCTCCAGGCCTCTTCTGTTTCGTTCATTGGACAAATGTTTATCGGTCACCAGCTGCTGTGGTGAACGAGACAGATACCCAGCCCCCTGTCTTTATGGAGCTCGCAGTCCACTTCATGGAGTCTGTGTGAAGGTTGATGGTACAATAAAGCAGGGCAGCACAATAGAAAGAGGGTCAGCTTTGCGGCAAACAATCCTTGGTTCTAAATCCTGGTTTTGCCACCGTGGCCTGTTCCCTAACTTGTTCACTCTATCTTTGTTTAGTGTTTTTATTTTATTAAAGTTTATTTATTTTGAGAGAGAGCATAAGCGGGGAGGGGCAGAGAGAGAGGGGGAGAGAGAGAGAATCCCAAGCAGGCCCCGCGCCGTCAGTGTAGAGCCGGACGGCTGCAGGGAACAAACCCACAAACTGGGAGATCAGATCATGACCTGAATCAAAATCAAGAGTCGGACGCTCAACAGACTGAGGCACCCAGTCTTGAGGGGCACCTTAAGATTTGATTTTTAAAAATTAAAAAAAAAATTTCATTTATTTCTGAGAGAGAGAGAGAGAGAGGCAGAGTGAGCCGGGGCGGGGGCGGGGGGCGGTCAGAGAGAGAGAGGGAGACACAGAATCAGAAGCAGGCTCCGGGCTCTGACCTAGCAGTCAGGGCAAAGGCAGACATGGGGCTTGAACCCATGAACTGTGAGATCATGACCTGAGCCGAAGTCGGATGCTTAACCGACGGAGCCACCCAGGTGCCCCAAGATTTGATTTTTTAAGAGGCGCCTGGGTGGCTCCGTTGGTTAAGCCACCGACTTCGGCTCAGGTCATCATCTCACGGTTCACGGGTTTGAGACCCACGTCAGGCTCTGTGCTGACAGCTCGGAGCCTGGGGCCTGTTTCAGATTCTGTGTCTCCCTCTCTCTCTGTGCATCCCCTGCTCACACTCTGTCTCTCTCTCAGAAATAAATACATATTAAAAAAAAAGATTTGATTTTTTAAGTAAACCCTATACCCAACGCGGGCTCAAACCGGCAATGCCAAGATCAAGAGTTTCCTGCCCTTCTGACTGAGCCAGCCAGGTGCCCCAGCTTGTCCACTTTTTGAAAAATGGGTCTTATAATACTTACCTTGATAGTTTTGTGTGGAGTAAATGAGATACCGAGTGTAAATCACACAGCACCTAGTTAGTACTCAAAGAGCCGTTGCTATTATTATGTATTTGGAAACCCTATGAAAACTGCAGGTGGTGGGTATTGGTAGCATTACCATTTCCTTTGTCCCTGTTTACACATGGCTGGCAGTCTCTAAAACCGGCATGATTGACTGAACGACCAAGTCACTTTCCTTGCTCTGTAACTTCTGCATGGCCCTCTGCAAACCCATATCCTAGGAATTATTGCTCCCTCTTTATATCCCAAAATGGGTACGTGATTGGAGGTGCTACCCAGCTACTCCACTAGGTGGAACAGGTGAATCTTGCGTGGTTATTTTCTGTTTGATGGTTGCTCCTTTTCTTCAGAATCACAGATAGCTTTTCTGCCCATAAGTGACTGTGGAGGCAAAAGCCTGAATATTTCCAATTTGGGGAATGTTGGATTAGACCTTGTGTCAATTTCCTGTAGCTGCTCTAACGGATTACTGCAGATTTGGGGGATTAACAGAAATTTATCTTCTCACCATTCTGGAGGCGAGAAGTCCAAAATCAGTATCAGTGGACCCAAATCAAGGTGTCAGCAGGTCTGTGCTTCCCCTCCTCCCCCGCCCCCTAGAGGATCTAGGAAGAAACTGTGTCCTTGCCTCTTCCAGCCTTGGGGCTGGGGTGGGGGGAAACTGTCAGCATCCTTGGCTGGTGACTGCATCGGTCTGATCTCTGCCTCTGTGTTCACACTGCCCTTCCTCTTCTGTGCTGCATCAATTCTCCTTTCCTAAGGACCCTTGTCCTTGCATTTAGGGTCCACCCAGATAATCCAGGATAATCACCCTATCTCAACATCCTTAATCACATCTATAAAGTTTTTGCCACCCGCAGTGACATTAACAGGTTCTAAGGAGGAAGGACATCTTAGCAGGGGGCGTTATTCATCCTACCACAGTCCTCTCCGAAAGTCACTGTCATCTTGCACCCCTTCTTTCCAAAGAGTCTAGGCACTGTGGGCTAGTCAGAGGCATATTCTACAGGTTGAAAATAGGAAGCATCAGATAGAATGTTGTTAACCAGCTTCCCTATCTTCATCATACTGTGAATTAAACTGGGCCAGCCTATTCTCGCCAGCCTGTATGATCAGGGAGAATCTTCTCATTCACCTCTCAGTTGTATTAGCTGTTTTTTAAACAGAGTGAGTGAGAGGGTGAACATGCACACGCGTAGGAGGGGCAGGAAGAGAGGGAGACAATGATCCAAGGTGGGCTCTGCACTGACAGCAGAGAGCAGAGAGCCTTGAGATCATGACCTGAGCTGAAGTTGATCGCTTAACTGACTGAGGCACCCAGGTGCTCCTGCATTAGCTATTTATCTGTGCTCTCTCACCACAAAATTGTATTTATTTTTATGATAGAAATTTTTTGGGGGAACCTAAGTGGCTCAGTCAGTTAAGGGTCTGACTTCAGCTCAGGGCAGGATCTCGCGGTCCGTGAGTGTTGGGCTCTGTGCTGACAGCTCGGAGCCTGGAGCCTGCTTTGGATTCTGTGTCTCCTTCTCTCTCTGCCTCTCCCCTGTTCATGTTCTGCCTTGCTCTTTCTCTCAAAAATAAATAAATGTTACAAAAAATTTTAAAAAAATAAAAATCAATGAGTCTTTGAGGAGTTTCCAATGCAGATCACAATGAATTGCTTTTCTCCTGAAATTCCCCATTTCATCCATTTCTGAAAGAAGACTCCCTATCTCCGTTGGCTTTGAATAATCGTTAAAAAATAGTCCTGGATGGTGTACCGAGAGGGATTTCACATAGAATGGACATACACTTCTTAATAGGACCTTCCCGGTGACGATGGTTTCCTCCCCTTTCTCTTTATTTCCGTATTCTCCCTGTTGTTCGCATGTCAGGAGAGCTGTCGCCCAGCGCTTTGTGCTAAATTGTCTCAGAGGGAACTGGGGATGAAAAGACCTCAGTGGAAGGAACACAGATGGCTAAGCTTTCTGGGCAGCAGTGACCTTTGAAGGGGCCCTGCCAGCACTAAGGGTGGGAAAGACCAAGTTCCCATTTAACACTGCCTTTTAATGGGAGAATGAACATTCTAAAAAGTCAGTGAAATATAGGGTGTTAGGAAAGAGCTTTTGCAGCTTTCAAACTCTGGCCCGTTCAGTTGCAGAGCAGGGAGATGACAGTTACTATCAGCCACTGGGTTGGGGACACCTCGCTGGCTGGCGTTGCCTCCACCATGAATGAATAGAGAGAGCTGTGTACCTAGTAAGTGCTCACATTTTCTGCCTGATGCGGAGGTGACAGCCATGGAAACGTGCTATTCATATCTCCTGCTGCAGGGGCACAGCTGACTGACAGCCTTGAGCTGCTGTCCCGTCTGCGCCCATCACCTCCTGTGCACTGTGGCCACACATCTTGCAGGCTGCCCTCAGTCAGTGACGGAGCCCAGCAGGGGCACCCACTCAGGCACATCTTGGTAAAATGTGGGGTCTCTTCGGCTTGGCGACTTCCCACTGGCCTGGCCAAGCCTTTCTTGGAAATGCAGTGCCAGCTGAGACTGTCACATCCAGACCTCCTTCCTTCCTTCCTTCCCACGCCCCTTCCGCAGCTGTGAGACCTTCAACATGGTCCGAAGCCCCTCCTTCCTCCTCCCCAGCACGTCTCTTGTACATTTATCCCGTCCTGGTGTCTTCTCCTTGGCCGACCTAACCTGACACAGTACAAAAGACTGAATGAGTCCTTGTAACTAAGAGTAGAGAGTGGTCATGTTGGAAGATAATGAAGAATGCATGTGATCACTTACTGTTATGAGGCTTTTGTTGAAGCCGCTTGAAATGTCTGGAACCCTGGAGTCAAAGTGATCCTTTCCAGAGGAAAACTGATCTCATCCTTCCTTCTGTCTGAAGCCCTTCAATGGCTTCTCGCTGCTGTTAAGAGAAAGCCAGTACTCCAGTGTGGCCTGCAAGGCCCACTGTGGTCTGGTCCCTGCTTCCTTTTGCAATCTCATCTCGCATCACCTTTTCCCTTGCTCTCACTTTTTGAGCCATGCGGGTCCCTTTATTTGCCGTCTTCTTTGTTGCTACAGAGCCTTTGTGGTGGTGTTCCTTCTGCTCAGAGCTCTTCCTCTTTCCTTTTTGCCTAGTGAATTCATACTCATATCTGCACTTAAATATCACCTTGTCTGGGTAGCTTTCTTTGACCTTCTCAATGAGGTCAGAAGCCCCTATGACATTTCCCATCTACCAGAGTCCTTTATAGCACTGGTCGTAATTGCAGTTTTTCATTTGCTTGAGATATCTGGTTAATCTCTCTCTCCCCCTCTTTGTTTTACTTTTTAAAAAAAAATTTAAAACATTTAAAATTTTTTTATATGCCTTATTTATTTCTGAGAGAGAGAGAGAGAGAGAGAGAGACAGCATGAGCAGGGGAGGGTCAGAGAGAGAGGGAGATACAGAATCTGGAGACAGGCTCCAGGCTCTGAGCTAGCTGTCAGCACAGAGCCTGACGCGGGGCTCGAACCCATGAACCGTGAGATCATGACCTGAGCCGAAGTTGGACGCTTAACCGACGGAGCCACCCAGGCACCCTGTTTTATTTATTTTTTTAATGGAAGAGGTTTTTAAATTGGGGGAGGAGGGGGACTGTTCTGGAAAACAGTTGGAGTCGGATATTTGATTTTACTGTAATACATTAGCTGGCTGCTGTTTGAGAGATGGCAGAAGTCAAGATACTTCTGGGTCAGAGACAAAGGACTTTATTGCTCATAGTACAACAGGTACCACAAGCATGAGGTTTGTCTGCATCCGTTCCCTTTGCCTCCCAAGTCTGATGTGAAGGGCTCAGGTGGATGCTTGCACAGGCCAGAGGTTGCGTTACAGAAGCAGAATGCTTAGGGGACCTGATGCTTCATTGTAAGCAGGAAGCAGGCTGTTCTTTGTCCCGGGGGGAGACATTACCTCATCCCTTGGGTTTCTTTCTGCAAACACAATCCTGAGAAATGGCCCAGGTGAAGAGCAGCCAAGTCCTTGAAATCTTGGCATACCCAGCAAGACAGAAAGGAGCACAGGAGACCTCCAAAAACCACTTGTATCTAGGGAAATCCTCAGAAGAGAAACTCATGCGTGCGCGTGCGCGCGTGTGCGCACACACGCGCACACACACACACACACACACACACACAGTATTTGTATACATAACATATAAAATTCCAGGATGGAAAAGGAATCTGGCTGTGGGTGTGCTCACCAGGAGCACAGATTGGAGAAGGGCTACAACGGCCACATTTCCTTGAGTGGTAGTCCAGCGTCGCATGAAGGCTGGGGACGCGGACTCTGGAACCAAGCCAGCCTGGGTTTGAATTCTTGCTCTGCTGCTTTCTAGCTATTATATCCTTGGGCACGTTACTTAACTTCTCTGTGTCTCATTTCACACATCTGTAAAATGGGGGAGAATAAAAGCACCTGCCTTCTAAAGTTTTTGTGATTAAGTGGGTAAATCCCTTAGAGCAGTGCATGACACACCGGAAGTGTTGAGTAAGCGAACTTCTTATTGAGCTGGTGGTGAGTATTCTAGGCCACCTGACCAATTGTGGAATGATCTCCTTGCATGTCGTCAGGCAGGGGTAGTGGTCTGCTGATCTGGACACTGCCGCCGATGGTTAAGTTATTCTGCTCTGGTGTCAGAACTAATCAAAATGTGAGCTAGAGACACCGGGTAGGAGGCGAGGCATCCTCTGGTCTTCCAGTGCCCTGGCCTTCATCAGGGTCTAGGTTGATTAGTTTGAATGCCTTAAAAAAAATTTTTTTTTAACATTTACTTATTTTTGAGAGAGAGAGAGAGAGAGAGAGAGAGAGAGAGTGAGTATGAGCGAGGGAGGGGCGGAGAGAGAGACACACACACACACAGAATCTGAAGCAGGCTCCAGGCTCTGAGCTGTCAGCCCGGAGCCCACGCGGGGCTCAAACCCATGAACAGAGAGATCATGACCTGAGCTGAAGTCGGACGCTCAACCGACTGAGCCACCCAGGCGCCCCAGTTTAAATGCTTTTAAGTGGTGACAGGTGAGGCGCTAGGGTCAGACCCTTCATGTAGGTACAGGATACAGATGCCGTATTGAAGCACAGAACTGCTTTGGAGGCGTCCGGTTGCTGAAGTCAACGACTGCTCTCTCACAGTGAACGTGGTGGAGGCGCTGCAGGAATTCTGGCAGATGAAGCAGTCCCGCGGGGCAGACTTGAAGAACGGGGCTCTGGTGGTTTACGAGATGGTCCCCTCCAACAGCCCTCCTTATGTCTGCTACGTCACTCTGCCGGGAGGAAGCTGCTTCGGGAGTTTCCAGGTAAGAGTTGCGAGGTGGCAGCAACGGAGAGAAGTGCTTAGGTGCCAGTGGTGGTTTTTGCCATCACTTTGGCCATTAAGTCTCTGTCGGAAATCACGTATTTGGGGACCTGAAACCAGTTCTGGGCAGATCATTCTGATGAGCACCTGAGGCTCATGTAACCACGGAAGAACCTCAGTGGCTTTTCTTTCAGCTACAGAAACTCACACCCGCTGTGGATTTGAGCAGGTGTGACTATGCCCTTACTCTGTATATCCAGAGCCCGTATTCTAATCCGGCTGTCCAACTTCCTGCCGTCTCTTTCTGAGAACACAGAGTAATATTCGCCCCCCTCCCCCGCCCCCAGCACTTTTTCCTAGGCAGTCACTCAAGAAAGCAATGTTTGTGTTCCTTAAGAGATCAAAGTGGAGGGACTATGTATGGTGGAAATAGTACCCGTCTAGGAATGAGAAGATGCACATTCTCATTCCCCCCACTGCCAGCAGGGCAAATCAGGTACATTCTCTGGGCCTCAGTTTCCCCATCTATAAGATGAAGGAGATAGGTTAGATTCTTTCCTTTTTATATATATATATTTTTATTTTTTATTTCTAGGGGAGAGAGAGAGAGAGAGAGAGAGAGAGAGAGAGAGAGACAGTGTGAGCAGGGGAGGGTCAGAGAGAAAGGGAGATACAGACTCTGAAATAGGCTCCAGGCTCTGAGCTGGCAGTCAGCACAGAGCCCGACGCGGGGCTCGAACCCACGAACCGCGAGATCATGACCTAAGCGAAAGTCGGACGCTTAACCGACTAAGCCACCCAGGCGCCCCTAGGTTAGATTATTTCTAAAGTCTTTCTAGTGCTAGCATTCTACAGTTCTATGAAAGGGCTGTGATATACGATGGTGAAGGGTGTTGCCATTATAGGGCAAGAAGAAATTTGACTAGTGTGATTATTATCATCAGAGACGGAGTTTTTACATCACCCACAGGTAGGTAGCCTTCTGAGATGTCAATATACAGTCTGCATAGAAATTTAGAGATGATAATAGATGTTTTGTTCTGGGTTTAAGGCTTGTAGAACCCTTAGACAAAGGTATAACCCCTGCTATGTGCTTCCACAGCACCTTGAACTTCCCTTATCATACTACTTATCATGACCTATGGTAATTATTTCACCTAGTGGATTATGCTCCATGAAGGTAGAGATTGTGTCTATCTTCTTTCTCAGTCAGTCTTAGATCCTTACCTCCGACTCACCACACGGCAAAGGGTAGGCATTTAATAAACCAGAGGCATGAATCAGGGGCCATTGCAGTTCAGTTCCTGCCTCAAACAGAAAAGTCCTAAAGAGGCTTCATTTCAAATTAAGTGACTAATTTTTTTCCCCTTAGAACCCCAACCGTTTCAGAGAAATAAATATATGCTCAGGATGACTAATGTTTATTCTTTCTCTTCTAGAAAATAAGATCTTCCTTCTCTCACCTCATCTTATTGTTGAATAAATATTTGATCATTTTAGGGTGATGCCCATAACCAGATCATTACAGTAATTTGATTTCTGTTATTTCCCCCAAAGAACAAAATTATCTATCTTGGCCTCTTTCAGCTTATATCTTCTATACCCACTTTGGCAGATGAAATTTCTCCTGGTGGTTTTCCTCTGGGATGACCTTTCGGTAGAATGAGCAGCAGGCTAGTGAACAGAGAGGTGGAAAAAGAGGAATTGCAGAAGACGACTTAGGGTTAATGTACCAAGCTCCATATTCTGTCTCAGAGAGACCTGTCAGCTAAAGAAAATCAGGAGTTACTGATATTAAGGTGGTTAAGTAGCGAACACATCCTGGTCTACTTTTAAAAACCGTAACATTGGGGCGCCTGGGTGGTTCATTCGGTTAAGTGTCAGACTTTGGCCCAGGTCATGATCTCGCGGTTCGTGGGTTCAAACCACGCGTTGGGCTCCGTGCTGACAGCTCAGAGCCTGGAGCCTGCTTCGGATTCGGTGTCTCCCCTCCTTTCTCTGCCCCTCCCCTGCCCTCACTGTTTCTCTCACTCTCTCAAAAATAAGTAAGCATTAAAAAAATTAAAAATAAAATAAAAACTGTAACATTATTTTCTTCCTTTCCTCTAATCCTAATCCTAAATGACAGAAAACAGAGAGGCCCTTGAGGCAGCCAGTGATGATGAATTATATAAAGAAATACTAGGGGGATTTGAGGTTGAGTGATTTAAGACTTCCAAAAATCAGACTTGTTCTATGAGACGATTGAATGGATACAATGCAAACACGTGCATTTAAATTTTTCTTGCTTTGTTCACGTCAGCTTTCCTTGTCCTGGCCACCCCTCTCTTCCTTGCTTCCACGGGGTGGGGGGGGGGAGCGGGGGGGATAGATTTACAAATCCCTTCTTCAGACCTTGGGCTCTGGTCAGGGATAGCTCATTGACCCACTGCGTTAACGGAGGAACTGCCTACTCACAGCTAAATGTGAAGTCTAAGAATCCCAAATGGGTGCTTCTTTTTTTTTTTTCTTTTTTTTTTTTTAAATGTTTTATTTATTTCTAGGAGAGAGACAGAGAGACAGCATGAGCAGGGGAGGGCCAGAGAGAGAGGGAGTCACAGACTNTTAAATGTTTTATTTATTTCTAGGAGAGAGACAGAGAGACAGCATGAGCAGGGGAGGGCCAGAGAGAGAGGGAGTCACAGACTGAAACAGGCTCCAGGCTCTGTGCTGACTGCCAGCGCAGAGCCTGATACGGGGCTCGAACCCGCGAACCGCGAGATCATGACCCAAGCGAAAGTCGGACGCCTAACCGACTAAGCCACCCAGGCGCCCCCCAAATGGGTGCTTCTGGTAGAGACTAGAGATTTCCTTGGCAGAAGCAACCTGGACAAGATTTATTCTACTCTTAGGTCCTCGAGAGGGATGAAAACAAATTTTGCCTGTGCACGGAACAGGGGAGCAAGACACAAATTTCTACCAGGCTGGCCAGAATCTGGCTTTTGAGTAATTAATTCTGTTGACAGTTGAAGCAGGGGTATTTTTTATATCCAGTGATTATATGCTGACCTCAGCAGCCTTCCTCATTCTGTATTCAATTCGGTACGAACTCTAGCCGTCTCCAGTTCCTTAATGACTTCAGGATGTTGAGTCAAAATTCTGTTTCCAAGCGCCCCAACCGTTTTACAAAACAAAACTTGTAGGGTATGCTGAACAAACTGATTTATCCAAAGGCTCTTCCAAGTGGCTTCTATCTTAGTGGTTCCCTGCCACTGTCCCTTCCTCTCTCTCAGACGCACACATATACATATATTTTTTCTCTCTCTCTCTCTGTCCTGCGTAGTTTTGCCCCACAAAAGCTGAGGCCCGGCGGAGTGCGGCAAAGATCGCACTGATGAATTCTGTGTTTAATGAACATCCTTCCCGAAGAATCACTGATGAGTTCATTGAGAAGAGCGTCTCTGAGGCCCTGGCATCTTTCAATGTAAGTTACTAGGAGTTGAAAGAAAAGAAGGTGGGGGATGGGAGGACTGGCTGGCTGGGAAGTCTTGTAAATCAGTGGGAATCAGAGCAGGAATTCTTGTTTTCTTTCCTGTATAGACAGGAATTTATTTTCTGTCGATCTTGCGTATCACCCGTGCCCTCTATCTCAGTCACTGATGCTATGTGTATGTTTGTTTTGTTGATATTTTGCCTCTTTTATTGTATCTCTTTGGGATCTAGAAACCTTTAATTCAAGATTTATGGAATTTTAGGGGCGCCTGGGCAGCTCAGTCGGTTGAGCTTCCGACTTTGGCTCAGGCCATGATCTCACGGTTCGTGGGTTCGAGCCCCGCATCGGGCTCTGTGCTGACAGCCAGCTCAGAGCCTGGAGCCTGTTTCAGATTCAGTGTCTTCCTCTCTTTCTGACCCTCCCCTGCTCATGCTCTCTCTCTCTCTCTCTCAGAAATAAATAAAAACATTAAAAATTAAAAAAAAAGATTAATGGAATTTTAGAGAGATTCCAAAATAAAAACTGAGCTTGAATTTTGCTTTTCCCAATTTTGGTTTAAGACCTTACTCCCTTCTTACTTCACTGTTCTTGTTTGTTTGTTTGTTTGTTTTTAATTTTTATGACTGCTCTTATTGCCACTCATCTCCATTATCTCTCCTATTAATAAAGAACACTTTAGGGGCACCTGGGTGGCTCAGTCGGTAAAGTGGCCGACTTTGGTTCAGGTCAGATCTCACAGTTCATGAGTTTGAGCCCCGAGTTGGGGTCTATGCTGACAGTGAGAGCCTGCTTCACATTCTGTGCCTCCCTCTCTCTCTGCCCCTCCCCCGCTGTACTCTGTCTCTCATCTCTCTCTCTCAAAAATAAACATTAGGGGTTAGGGAGAGGCGAAGGGGAGCGATGGGCATGGAGGAAGGCACTTACTGGGATGAGCACTGGGTGTTATATGGAAACCAACTTGACAATAAACTATAAAAGAAAAAAATAAACATTAAAAAATAAAAAATAAACATTTAAAAAGTTTTAAAAAATAAAAAATAAAGAACACTTTATAATACAGTGTCTTAGTTTTTTTTTTTTTCCTTTCAAGGAATGGGGTGGATAATCTACTTACTCTCTTTAAAAAGAATGTTCCTTCAAATGGTGATGATGATGATGATAATGATGACCCCAGCTAATCCTGATTGAGTGTTTACTTTGTGCCAGGGACTGTTCCAGGGTTTTCATGTGTATTTTATCTCATTTGATCATCGTCATAATGCTCTGGGATATAGGAACTGTCATTACCCCTCTTTTACAGAGGACGAAGCTAAAAACATAGCAGTGAAGTTTTGCCTGAAAGGATGTAGCTAGAAAGTGGTAGAGCCAAGACTGGAACCCAGGTCAACTTAGAATTTTCTAGCTTAGGGGTACATCTTGGAAATGAACGCTGCCTTCTGTCTTCCTTCTCACAAGTTCACTGATAGGGTGAGAGCATGAAAGTCAGACCAATTTTCTGTTTCTGTTCTCTTTGAAGTTAAGATGTAATTACATATACTAAACCCCTTCAGTGATCTGTTTGTGTATTTAGTAGTTTTGAACACTTTAGATCATAAATTGGCTTCTCTCTGTTACCCAGGACCCATCTGATTTTCTCCCATTTCTCTTTGTCCCAGTCAGAAGTATCTACAGAGAATAAAAGCAATTTTTTTATATTGATCAAAGCCAATGAAAATTAAGAAAGTACATTTATCGCTCTTAAGTCACCTAATATATTATAAAATGAAACATTAGTTTGGATTGTAGAAAGTGATGCTTATAAGCATGGACTCAGGGGCTGCCTGGGTGGCTCAGTCGGTTAAGCATCAGATTTTGGCTCAGGTCATGATCTCATGGTTTGTGGGTTCGAGCCCCGCATCGGACTCTGTACTGACAGCTCAGAGCCTGGAGCCTGCTTCAGATTCTGTGTCTCCCTCTCTCTCTGACCCTCCCCTGCTCACACTGTCTCTCTCTCTCTCTCAGAAAAAAAAAATTTTAAAAAAAGTGTCAATTTCCTCATCTGTAACAATCATACCTATCACATAGGATTATTGGATAGAAGAGAATATATTTAAGCACTCAGCGCATGTTACCCGTTTAGAGGCCTTTGGATGCAAGTTCGTAGAAAAAAATCTCACTTCAAACTGACTTAAGGGAATACATCAAGAAAGGAAATTTGTTCTCTGACAGGACAGGAAGTCCAGAAGTAGAGAAGAATTCAGGGCTGGTCGATTCCATGGATCAAGAATGTCATCATCTATTGGCCAAATTCTTTCCATCTCTCCATTCAGCCATCCTCTAGATATTGGCTTTGTCCTTTGGCTGGCTCCCTTCAGATGCAAGGGCGCAAGATAACTATAGAATTTCAGACATTAAATACAGATATAACTATATTCAGAGACAGACACCATCTTTCTTTCTTTCTTTTTTTTAATGTTTTTATTTATTTCTAGGAGAGAGAGATAGAGATAGTTTGTGTTTGTTTGGGTGTCAGAGAGAGAGGGAGTCACAGACTGAAACAGGCTCCAGGCTCTGAGCTGGCAGTCAGCACAGAGCCCGACGCGGGGCTCGAACTCACGAACCATGGGATCATGACCTAAGCAAAAGTCGGACGCTTAACCGACTAAGCCACCCAGGCGCCTCTCTCTCTTTCTTTCTTAAGTAGGCTCCACACCCAATGTGGGGCTTGAACTCAGGACCTTGAGAGTGCCTTGCATGCTCTACCAACTGAGCCAGTCAGGTGCCCTGAGACCTCCTTTCAGTATCTCTTTGGTGATAAGGAATCTTCTCCCAGAAACCCTCCAGTAGACCTCCTACCTCCAATGGCCATTCCCACCTTAAAACCAGTTATAAGCAAAAGAGATTAGGATTTACCCACTGGAATTACAGGATAAAATCACTCTTCCCTGATAGAGATACATGGGGGATGGGTAGGTACTAGAACAAGATTAAGGTTCTACAGGAAGGAAGAAGGAAATAGATGTTGGGTAGCTCACCAGCAGTGTCTACTACAAAGTGTTGAGAAAACATAAATTATTATTATTCTCTGCAATATTTCTGTTTGACTAACCCCTCAAAACTGAGAATTTAATAGATTGCTCATTAATTTCCCAGTGGAATCGCCATACTCCAGATAACATTGATTTGGGGGCACCTGCGTGGCTCAGTCAGTTGAGGGTCCAACTTCGGCTCAGGTTGTGATCTCATGGCTTATGAGTTTGAGCCCGCGTCAGGCTCTGTGTGGACAGCTCAGGGCCTGGAGCCTGCTTCAGATTCTATGTCTCCATCTCTCTTTCTCTCTCTTTCTCTCTTCGCTCACGCTCTGTCTCTCAAATAAACAAGCAAACAAACATTAATAAATAACATCGATTTCGTGTTAGCCATGGGTAAAGGGTACTGTCCACATTTCTTTGCTTTCAGCTTTTGTTCTTTAAAAGGCTCTGACTTGAAGACTGTATTATCTTTTGACAAATCACCCAGCCTCTGTAGGTCTGAGTTTCTTCATTTGTAAAATGAATAGGTCGAGTTAAATTAACTCTTAATTTCTTTCCAATTATAGTCTAATGCTACTATCACTTATCAAGTATCCTATGATTAAATGTTTACTGAGTAAATGGAGTTCATTTCTAACCATGTTAGATGTAGAAGTGTCACATGAAGTAGATCTTCCCAACGGGTGGGTCCTGCCACTTGTGTGTACTCCAAACAGGTTATAGTTGTGCCACAATATTGACCCCCCTCAGCTCTCCGGAGACTGAGCATGGCCAGGGACAGGTGGGCTCCTCTTCCCACAGCTTCTCTATGCCCCAGTTGGCTGTACAGAGATGATCATTACTTTCTATGTACTGTATCATGGAAAACTCTGGAGGTTCTGAACAAAGTATTGTATTAGGCAAACATGAAACAGGTTCATTGCTTCAGGGCCCTTGATGCTCATAGTGAAGACTACCTTTTTCTTCCTCCCTCTAGCTTTTCTTTTTTAAGAAAGATGTTGGCCTGTTGCTTCTCATAAGCCACAATAAATGTGGGTTGATCTTGTGTACTTCTGACTCCTTGTTGATTCTAGCAGAGTGAAAACTAATAATAATAAGCTAGCACATATGGTGTGCTTATTAAGTGCATGGAATGATTGTAGGTGTGATACATATACAGTAAAGCCCCGTGGAGAAGTGCCCCATAATAAGCTGAATTTGGATATAACTCGATTGGCTCTGGACTTCTGCTTCTCAAAGAGAGCAGAACCTTGGGAGGTGTGGGGCAGGGATGTGGTGCAGAATGGGCTAGAAAGAGTGGGCAACTTGTCAGGAAGCAGAAAGAGAAAGTTGGGTCCCTGTGTTCCCAGAAGTCTCCTGGCTTTATTTTCCTAGATCAGGTTGACCAAAAGGTCACCAATAAACCAGGAGCTGCCCTTATTTTGGAAGTCCCAGTCAGCCCCAGGGTCGTGGAATTGTCCCCAGTAATATTAAACCACCATCAGGTAGCACTAAACCAAAGCCAGGACCAGAATGGATTTGGATTGTGTAACTGGATACCAAGCCTAGTATAATAATGTACCACATTTGATATACTTGGAGTTTTTAAACCACATTTATCCCTTTTAAAATATTTTTTAATTTAATTCTCAAAACAATCTTAGAAGATGGATGTGAGAGTATTCCCATTTTACAGATGAGGAAACAGAGGAAAAGAGAGGTTAAAGGACTTCCCCAAGGCCTCAAGATGAGTAGGAGATCCAGTCTATACTGTATTGTTTTTTTGCACAGGGCAATGGATCTTAGTTCTATCCCCACAGAGTCATGTCACCACTAGAACACACAAGGCAATGTCCAAGAGGCCAAACCGCTACCCAGAATTTACTGTGCTTATGGCTCCTGCTGTTTCCCTTTAAGATGCATTTGCCCGATCATCCTCTAGGCTGGTCCAATCCTGTGTGTTAGACTCACTGCTATTTTGGCTAAATCAGGGTTCTTGTCTCTGTCTCACTGTTCCCTCTTTGGAAGACAGGGAAAATCAGATTGACCTCTGTCACTTGAGTTAATATGTGCGATGACTTTGGAGTCTTCTGGGTCTATGCTGACCAAAAGAATAGCCACCAGCCACATGTAGCTAATCAGCACCTGATATGTGGCTAGTATGAATTGAGATGTGCTGTAAACATGGAAGAGACATCAGATTTTGAAACCTTGGTATAAGGACGAGAATATAAAACTTTCTTTAAACATTTTTAGGCTAACTATAGCTAAATAATATTTTGAATATTAGCTTAAATAAAACATGCTATTTAAGTTGGTTTTGCCTGTTTATTTTTACTTGACGGTGGCAACTAGAAAATGTTAAATTAGATTGGGGGCTCGCACTGTATTTCTGCTGGACAGTGCTGCTTGAGGTCCTGAGTGAAAATCTGTCTGTCTTTTCCTTTCTTCTGTTACAGGGCAACAGGGAGGAGGCTGACAACCCAAATACAGGGATTGGTGCCTTCCGATTCATGTTGGAATCCAATAAGGGCAAGTCAATGTTGGAGTTCCAGGTACCATTCCATTTACTTCCTTGGCTCTAATAACATGGATCAACCTGCATCTATATTATATTTTGTTGTGTTACGTTACGTTACATTACGTTATATTATATTATATATCCTTTTAATCCCTAACTCACTGACCCTCAGTTGGAAGGGAAAGGAGGGAAGGCTAGAATATTTTTCAAAATGTAAATACCTTCCTTCCCCAAAGGGCGTATCAGAGTTGGTGTAAGAGATGCTTACACAAATACATTCTGTAAAAGGTCCCCCGTGTAATTGGGATGCAAACCCTCGATATAAAATCACTGCTCTGGCACTTCGTATCATCTTCCCCCAGGAACTAATGACGGTTTTTCAATTGCTGCACTGGAATGGCAGCCTCAAGGCCATGAGGGAAAGACAGTGTTCTCGGCAGGTAAGACACCCTGTCTGTGAGAGGAGTCTCGCAGAAGGACAGCTTCGAGGTGGCTGTCCTGTTAGAAAGAAGCAGGCCTACGGCTACCAGGTTGCGAATATTGAAAGCCTCAAATTCCTGACATCTCTTCTGTTTAGATCTTAACCGTGACTCTTTGGCCTGCCTTGCTTCCCCCACCGGGACGTTTCCCTTAAGGGTCTCCTTAAAGGACTTAAGTGCCGACTCCAGTTAGGACTCCAAAGCTAAGAGTTCCTAGTCCCATCGGGTCCATCTGGTAAGAACCTTGACTTTGTGGGTAACCTTCCTATTCCTGTCCCCTTCCAGGAGGTGTTGGCTCATTATTCACACCGGGCCCTGGATGATGATATTCGCCATCAGATGGCATTGGACTGGGTGAGCCGGGAGCAGAGTGTGCCGGGGGCGCTGTCGAGAGAGCTGGCGGCTACTGAGCGTGAGCTGGACGAGGCCCGGCTGGCGGGCAAGGAGCTGCGCTTCCACAAGGAGAAGAAGGATATTCTCCTGCTGGCTGCTGGGCAGCTGGGCAACATGCATTCCTCCAACTGCTAGGCGCCTGCGCACACACTCCCCACCCTCTCCGGGCTCTTTCCGATCATGTCTTTTCTAAGACTTCGTGTGGTTTCTGTACATACTTCCTCAATTTTATACTTTAAAATATAGAGAGAGATATATATGTATATGTATAAATGCTACACTCGGATTCGGATTTGCTGGGAGACCCCTTTCCTTCTAGTTTTTAGATGTCGTTTCATCAGAAACCTCGCCATTCCGCCGTGTGAAAGGAGCAGGTGGGCTTCCGGGCTTTGCTGGCTCTCACACTCCCAGCTCTGGGTAGTCATTTCAGTAGCACAAAATGGTTGACAAAGTGTTCTTATAACCTAACAGGGAGTTTGAATAGGGACCGTATGCTCCGCCATCACCCTCTTTCCTGCTTTCTCTTGGACTCCAAACAGGGTACGAGCGTGAAGGCTTTGGCTTTAGTCTGTCTTGAGTTCGGCCTACTTAGTACTGATCTGTTCTGGTAACTAGATATTTCCTTGCCTAGACTCCCCCCCACCCCATCCCCCGGCCACTTCCCCCCAGCACCATACTCCTCCTCGGCCTCCAAGCGGAACTTCATGTTGAGGCTTCCTTTATTATTTGGAAGGAGGTGGACATCTGCCTTCTTATTGTTAAAATTATTCCTGAGACACTTCTCAGGAGGAAGAAGGAATTATAAACACAGAAGTAGGTGTTTATTGTCTAAATTGCTTCTGGGGCGTAGATACCGTACCTTGCTGGTAATCCAGCTTTCCGGATGTATTCTGGCTCCAGAAGGGGTCAGCGTTGAAGCCTCTTATCTTCCCAAATTCCCTCTTCACTCCTCCTCCCCTGCTCGCCCAGCTTCACTGAGCCCGGCGTTTAAACCCTCCTGCCTGCAGAAAATGGTAGAAGGGAACACATATTTCCCAACTCTCTCTCTTCCCTTCCTCTGGCTCTTTGGAAACGTTATTTGTCTTGTTTGGTGAGGGCCATGTTCCTCTCTCTCCCACCAAGCTGCTGCTGTTTGCGACCTTAGATGTCCATAGATTCACAGTTGTTTTCTCTCTTTCCTTTCCTCTTTCTCCATGTTGGTTATTAGAGCAGGAGTTGATCAAGAAAATTAGATGAGACTGGCGTTATGGCACCTCCTAACTGGAACCTTGGGAGACCGTAGGAAGGAAAAGAGACTAAATGATCGACTATTTGTGTTTTTAACTCTCCCCCTCCCACCCCAAGTCTCCCTCCTGGGTGAAATAGGAGAGAAATGATCTGGGGTACAGCTAAAGCATTCCTCTTTGGGAGAATTTTTTGTAGGGCTCTCAAAGCTGTACTTTCCCCTTTGTTTCTATAAACTCCTTTATACTCTATTATAGTTCAGTGCACTTTCTAAAATGTGCTTGGGAAGTTTCCTGTTTCTGCAAGATTGGACTTTCCATTCTGTGAGTATACACTTTATTTTTAGAAATAGGTTAGGAAATAGGCCACAATTTGCTCTTTTGGATCAGATAGGGATAAGATGAAACTCAGCTGTTTTGCTTTTGAAATCATCGTGGTGATCAGTACGTATGGGATCAGTGGTAAGGAATCGAGCAACTGTTTTAGTGCTTGAAAGGGACCTCTGGGAATTCTCCAAGCCGCATCTCTGTATACTACAAGCACATGTAGGGTTGGCATAGAGGCCCTAACATAGTATTTACCTATGTGAAATAACAGGTATGTCTATCCAGTTTTTATTGATATTTATAATCCAGAAATCATAAGCCCTCCTTTCTCCTATGCTCCTTTCTCTGGGAAGTGTGAAGGGGTGTGAGTTGTGGGAAGAACTTATCCTTGCACCTCCTGGATTATTGTTTTCAAATAACAACCAGTAAGATCCCAAAGAACTGGAGAAAAATTGTTCCCTGATCTGTCCATTTTCATTGTTACAGATTTCACTTATCTTTTTACTACTTTCTATGTATTTTGTATGTATAATTTTATACAATTAAAAATAGATTTTTGTCTAGTGAGCCAGATTGACTATTTCTTAAGACTTCTGTGTCAGAGGAGCTCTAAAATGACCGTTTCTTTTATAAACAGACTAAAAGATAATTTCTATTGTAGTTTTTGGGTGGCAGAAATAAGGCTGCACTGCTGTGGGAAAGCATCATGCCTCCCCTCCGGACATTTGAGGAACCCGGATTTTGTCACTGACCCCTTCTCCTCAAGCTCTACCCATTTCCACTGGCAGGCTCACTTACCATGGTGACTTCAGCTCTATCTTACACACCATTCTCAATCTCTTTCACCCTTTTGAGCTTTTACATCTATATTTCCATATTGGACATCACAACCTGAACTTATTTTATTAAAAAAAATTTTTTTTTAAATTTATTTCTGAGAGACAGAAAGACAGCGTGAGCAGAGGAGGGTCAGAAAGAGCGGGAGATACAGAATCTGAAGCAGGCTTCAGGCTCTGAGCTAGCTGTGAGCACAGAGCCTGATGCGGGGCCCGAACCCACGAACTGTGAGATCATGATCTGAATTGGAAGTTGGACATTTAACTGACTGAGCCACCCAGGTGCCCCTAAATTATTTTTTTATGTTTAATTATTTTTGAGAAGGAGAGAGACAGAGTGCAAGCAGGGAAGGGGCAGAGAGAGAGGGAGACACAGAATCTGAAGCAGGCTCCAAGCTCCGAGCTGTTAGCACAGAGCCCAATGCGGGGCTCAAACCCACAAGCAGTGAGATCATGACCCAAGCTGCAGCCGGCAGCTTAACCAACTGAGCCACCCAGGCGCCCCTCACCACCTAAACTTATGACACAAGCTCTTTGAAGTCACATATTCAAACTAAAGCCATTTCACACATGCTCCTCTTTGACACTCCAAATCTGTTATTAGGATTGTTATCTACCCAGTTACCTAAGCTAGAACCTTAGGTCCATTCCCTACCATGATCTCATCAGTCACTTCCTGTTGAGTTTACTTCCTATACAAGCTTCCAAATCTGTCTTGTCCACATCGGCTGCCCTTAGTTCAGTCCTTTATCATCTCCAGGCTGGACCACTGCAATAGCTTCCTAACCAGCCCCTGCCTTCATTCTTAACATCCTCCCAACTACTGTCAGATTTCTTCCTAAAATACTTAGGACTGCACCACTACCTTGCATAAACCATCATTTAACTATCTTTGTCTTTGGCAGCATTGCCCAAAGTTTTATATGGCAACCCTTGGTATTACCTGAGATGATTTTAGGTCACAGAGGGGCCAACATCTTTCATTTTTACTCAAACTGTAGTAGAAAAAATATAGATTTTTACATTTATGGCAGTGATATTTAAACTTAGTGTAAATTTGTTTAATTAAAAAGTCAGTCTACTTAAGGAAACAGCACTAATCAAGAAACAGCAAGGGGGGCTATTTACAGTTGTAAAAAGTCATGAATACCATATACTTGAAGTAGAGAAATTCTTGCCTACAGGATAAAATTTCAGTCTCCTTAGCACGGCATACATTCGGGCCCTAACCTGTACTTCCAACTTTATTTCCTAGCCACACAGCATCAGGCAAACAATTCCTTGCCCTTCTGATACTTGTTCATTCAAGAAGTATGTACCAAATGTCCACTGTGAGCTAGACCCTGGTCTAAACTTTAGGGACATGGTTGTAATTAAGAGTCTCTGCCATAAGGATTGCATTCTAATGGGAAATCAGACAAGTCAGAAAGTAAACAAGGTAGTTAGCTGGCTCCGCGAAGGAAAGAAACAAGAGCGAAGGACAGGAAAGTAGAGAAGACCCCTTTGGATGAGGGAGACCCAAAGGATGAGGCTGAAAGAGCCATATGAAGAGCTGGAATAAGCATCAGCAACAGAAAGTTGCAAAAGTCCCAAGATGGGAGAGACAATATAATTGAGGGGAAGTGTAGGGAGAGCTTAAGAAGAAGGCAGAATGGTGGTGGAAGTCCTTGGAAATAGGCAGAGTAGGCGGTTTGAATTTTATTCCCAAGCGCAAAAATAAGTCAAGTAAGGGTTTTTGTTAGGGATGTGACCAGCTGATTTTGTCCAAGATCACACTACTTCCTATGGAGAGCGGATTAGTGTCTTCTGTTCTCAGTGCAACCGTGTGGCCCAGTTCAAATGGAAGCCCTTGTTACTCCCAGTCCTACAAGAGGCTTTCTTTGTACTGCCATACCACCTTCATAGCAATTATCACTTTCGTAATGTGGTAAGAAAGGGACTGTTGATATGGCAATTATTTTGCCTTGTATTGCCCGCACCTTCTCTAGTATTAAATTCACGTGACTGTTTGATTAAAAAAACCAATAAATAAATGGACCTGCAGTCCACTATTGTTGGAGGTCTACATCAGGATTCCAGAATCTGGGAGCAAGATGGGTTTTGCCTCATCTCCTAGATTCCCCCCCCCCCCCCCCCC